AAAACGAAAATTGGGATCAAAACTCATACGAAGGTCTAGTTTAATTTTGGCGCTTTTTGCCATTAATCCTCGTTATTGAAAAAATGTAAAATCATATTGGTGTCAATGTGTAGCAGCGGTCTTTTCAAACACTAAAGGGAATTACTTCCCGTCTAACATAAGGGTCATTACACCCGAACTTATTTGAATATTGATGTTTTATATTAATAATTATAGTAGATCTACTGAAAACGTTTGCGTAATGTACTACAAATGATTCAAGACAATAAGGCCCATTGTTTTGTCCTAACACTGGCGCAAGCCTAGAACCATTTCATCTTCGTATTTGGTTTCGTTTGGTTTGTGTTTAAGCCACACAATATATTAGTATCACTCGGTAAATACTGATCTCTCATTTAGATTTGTAGACGAGTGAGACGCGCCCCTTTTGTAATTAACTAAATTGCATCTTCCAGACGAACCCACCCATTCCATTTTTCGTCTAGTTACCGGTCAAGAAAGCCAAATGCCTTGGAATTGCCGAGAATATCAATCTTTAGTTATTAATATCAACTTATTCATCCTTTTCACTTCCAATAGACTAACGGCAATGTATGGTGTACAATTTCCTCCAAAATTCAAGCGTCGTCATAAAAAATGGTAGATGTACAAAGTTGAATGGCGAATGTTGCCTGTTGATTTGCGTGATCATAAGAAAACACAAACTTGAATGTCTAATAGTAAAATAGGCACAAATTTAAAAAGTACCTTTTTTTTTTTTATACGATGCTTGAAATTTGGCGGAAATTATACACCATAATAATGTCAGTATCTTTACTTTAAAAACATGTATTTATGCACGACATCGAAAAATAATTAAACAATACTTATTGAAAACCCTAACAGGCTCACATCTGAATTTATGAAAGTTTCTGTGTTCGAGAAATCGTTTAAATCACCGGCTGTTTATTTCTTGACTGAACATGTTGTTTGTAGTATGATTTTACCGATAAAAACATGTCTGAAAATGTATTGCATTGCACCATAGTTAATCCTCTCCATTAACTATGATAGCACGTTAAGACATGGCGGCATTGTTCGTGCTTAACAAAATGATTTCATTGTTTTCAAACATCCATTGTTATGCGCACCAAGATGGCCCCCATGTTTTTGTCTTACTCTCTGGGATATGGTTGAAACACATTAATATAAATTTTAATTGAGGTTGTTATAAGGTAGAGGAGTGGCTGAGGAAAAGATTTTTAATGCCAATAATAAAAGTTTGAATTATACTAGCTATTTTCCGGATTGAGTCAATTTTACGTGTAGATGAAAAACATTCGATATTTTTGGTAGAGCGGCTGATGAAATTAACCTGTTAAAAATAATACCAATCAAAGCCAGGGGCAGAAATTGATTGGATTTAATTTATTCAAGCAGACTGAAAAGCACGTTCCACAAAGCAGCCTATTTGACCCAAATATCCTAAATATTACCTATAATTATATCTGAGTGTTTAGATATTATTTTGTTTTCGTGGGATGTTATCTTTTTGTATTCCTCGCAGCTTTTCGTTGTATAGTTGTGTTTCGTTGTCAGAGAATTCTTCAACTGCCTGAATGATCGGGTCATTTTTTAATGCCGAATTGAGCGCATGTCTTGCAGGGTTCGGGAGTTTGCTCGCGTATTGTTTATCAAACGGATCATGAAACGCTTTCTTAGGAGAATAACCATAGGTATTGGGTTGTAATGCAAAACTCGTATAAGGACCAGAGTAAATATCAGGAATAAATGTTGAATATTCTTTAGGTGTTGAAGCGTATCGTTGTGCGAGGTTCATCTCGTATTGTTCATCGTATTGATAACCTTTTGGCTGTTGAAAACCCGTTTTGTAAGAATTCCCTTCTCCTATGTACCAAGTACTCGTGCCTTTATTCTTCGGTCCTACATATTCCCCAAACCCATTGTAATTTACTGGCTGTTCTGCCTTTTCTTTATCTTTGAGTAAATCATCATTGGGCTTGCTTTCAAAATCTTCTGGAGTGTCATCTTTGTCATCCTGATCACTAGTGTCATCCTCAAGTCTTCTCTGATGATGTCCCTTATAGGAATCTAAACTCTTTCCTCTTAAGGCTTTTAACAAAAGCTTGACTCCTGAGACCAGATTTTTTAGCCTGAGCTTAGATGTTGGTTTATTTATTTGTGCCGAACCTACTTTTGATTTGGCTGTTGGGTTGGCGTTGATGATGGAAATGGTATCTTGTTGAATAGGCAGCATACCAGCTGAACTCGCTGGCTCCAAGATTCGACCGCCTGCGAACTGTGTGATTTTTTGTAAATCTTGATTAGCAGTCATTTTTCTTTCATCAACTGGGTTTAGAATCTTTCCTGAAGTCGCAGCTCCACTAAACTGGACAACACGTGGCTTCGATGATAAAAAGGTTTTTGAGGCATTTTCTGCTATGGATTCTTGTGCAGGTAATATGCCTTTTTTCTTGTCCTTTTGGAACTCTATTTCCCCTTGTTTTAACATTTTTTGAAGGGAAAGTAACAAGTTATCAAGACTTGATTCTCCTGTGTATTTATTGACCAGTTGTAAAGAAGAGTCATCAGATGGTGCTGGCATTGGTTTGACAGTTGGTGATGATAGGACAAGACTGTCATCTTCAACGATTTCTTTTTCCTTATCATTTGGAACCGATTTGACAGTGTCATCATCTTCACCTTTAGTTGCCTGTGCGTCACTCACAATATTTTTGATGTTATAGCTGTATCTCTGAGCACTGCTTAACTGGTTTTCAAGCGCATCTAACAGTTCTCTGTCAGGACTGTTATTCTTATTATTTCCTATCTGGTAATGTTTTGCCCCAATCACAAAATCCTCTTCCTCAAGTTGCTCTTTCTTCTTCTTTCTGCGACGATGGTGTTTTGAACTTTTCCTGCTTTTGTTCTGGTCCAAAAAGCCTCGAACCAACACGCTCAAAAGTTTTACTGAATTTTCATCAAGTGAACCAACTGTTTGTACTTCAGGAACTTTGTCGTCTTTCCCTGGCTTTCGTATACTTTGACCAGGGACTTGCAGGTCTTTTCCAGGAACTAGCACGCCTTTTCCAGTGAATGTGACGGAATTTTCAGGAACCTGATTTGGTGGGCCAAGCGCTCGATTACCTGAGGTTTTCGATGGTGGCGCTTTGATCATGTTCAGAAGGACATTAACATCCTTGCCCTGGTAGAGCTTTTCTTTCTCTTTCTCCTTGATGACCTCACTATTGATTCTTCCACCAAGAGTAATATCTTGGATATTGTTGAATGTCGAGATGGGTTTTAATGCTACAGAAGACAAATTCTGAATGCTTGATTGGCGTCGAAGTGCATTAGCAATAGAATTTGCAGCTTTGAAGGCGGTTTTGGGAGCTAGTTTTGTCACTGAGCTCACTTGCTCTTTTGATTGATTAGGTAGATGTGTTGCACTCAATAGAGTATGATTGTCATTATTTGTCTCTGCAGTCGTTTGTGAAGCTTGAATCGTTGTAGAAGAAGACTTAGAAGTGTCCATTGTGTTACTTTTAACAGTATTGTCTTTCTCATTGATTATGTTGATCACTGGCTCCTGATTTACCACCTCAAATCCATAGACTCCTTTTGTCGAATTGTCGGTATCACCTCCATGTGGCTGCTCATCATTGAATGGCATTTTTAAGGCTCCGCTTTGTAATTCCTGGAACAAGGAACTCGTTGGTTTCATCTTTACATCAACATCGCTAAACTTGCCAGTTTTTTCTGCTTTTTCAATAAGCATGTTGAAAGAATCTTCGATGTCTTTGATTTGTTTATCGATTCTCAATCGTTCTTTTCTCTGTTGAACTTTGTTTCTTGCTTCAGCTTGCACGTCCTCTGCAACTTTCCCCTTCAGCCTCAATGCAACCTTACTCGGATTTTTTAATGCAGCTTGTCTTTCCATTGCTTCAGTAGTTTCAATAGCCTTGTTGATTTTATCTTGTAAAAACTGAACATCTTTTGGTTGAACACTATCAGGCAAATCTTGAAGCCATTTAATCTCTTCACGGTGTTTATTATTCCTTGCTGAATGGTGTCTTTTTCCTCCTGCTTGATCTGGATCAATTTTTGATGTTATTAACGTCAAAGCATCACTAATAGCTTGTAGCGCCGATACCTTCTTTCTCAACAAACCAATAGCCTTCCCCTCAGTGTTTTGTTCAATATTTTTGGTTTGTTTCTCAAAGTCGTTCTGTGCAGGTTTAAGGAATTTTTCATAAAACATATTCCCCATGACCTTACCTCCTAATTTTGCCGTTGGCTCTATCAATTTACTCAAGTCTTTTTGGGTAGTTTTGATAGTGGTTCCCAGAGTGCTTATTGTTGGTAAGGGCGTTTGTGTTGTAGTAGTTGTAGTACTTGACACTTGCTCAAAATGCTGCTTGCCATCCATATTAGTAAGTTTTTCTTCTCTTTCACTACTGCCAACAGTTTTATTTGTGTTTGACGGGGGACTAGTAGTTTTTGAAGTGCTCGTTTCCTGTGAGCCTTGGGTATCGTGATTAGATGCAGTTATGTTTCTACTCATATATTCATTAATAATCTTGATTGCATCTGGAGACTCTGCAAGATGATTGAGTTCATCTCGAGTCAAATCCAGCTGGTTTGATAATTCATCGTTGTTAGAGTTTGGATTACGTGGTTCACTAACTGCCGATGCCATATCAATTCCCTCCATAGCATTAACACCTACTTTCATTATCTTTTTACTGTGCAGAATTTTCTTCAAGAGAGCGATATTTTGTTGTAGGGTTTCTTTTGCGCCGTCTTGAGGGACACCAAGCCTTTCCTTAAGGGGACTAGGACGGGTGTCGTGTGGGATATTCATCTGTTCCCCTGTAGTACCATCGCCACCTCTATTATTCTGACTTTCCATGTACTCTTTCAGTAACCCATCTAATGAAGAATTCATGATAGGATCATTGTCGTGTTTCTGATTGTTTGGCATGGTAGCTTGAAGTAAATAATGTGTATCGCTATTAGCATGCGAATCCTGGTTTAAAAACGGTATTCTCTTCGTTGGGTTTTCCGGTAAAAATATTCGATCTGAGCTTCCTTTTGAACTCTCCAAGACATTCTCTATGAAAACAAAATATAACAATAAAGTTACGACGTTGTTTTACGTTTTATTATTGCACCTTTTCGTCTTTTACATCTTACTTTGAATGAGAAATCGCGCAGAAAAAGATCGAAATCGAGGCATAGGGGAAGTAATTGTCGAAGGATTCATTTGCCCGAGCCTTTTTTGACACTGCTAGTGATCTTACAGCCAAAATACCGAAAGTGGTTCAATGCAATTTTTTTAGTATATTAAGTATTTGGCAAATCTCTTAGCCACCGAATTCGGTTCTACACCCCTTGGGCTTTTAGGGGCGGTCCTTCCTCTATTCTACGTACAAAACCTTTGTGCTAATTTCAGGCAGGGGCTGACTAACCTTGTTCGACATTAGGTTGGCATCGATAGGTGATCATGGCATACTTATCAACATCAGGACAATGTTGTTCATTCCCTTGTACCATATGCTCGTCATCTGCCCGCACTACACATCCATTACTCCCATGACAAATACTACGAATCCTTGCCAAAGTGCTGTTGGAGCTGTCACATTTCCCCAGTCGTGATGGTCTGCCTAGAGTCGTGGCACAAGTAGCAGGGGAAATTCTGCCCCATACTGCAGACAATACATTTAGTTTCCATCCTTCTCCACATTTCAGATTCGTTGTCTCTCCGTCACAGAGAACAAACTTCCGTTCGATCGGCATACAGGTATAATTTACAATAAGATATTTGTTGACACCCGGACAATGAGTAGTACCCGGGGCTTGTAGTACCCTATGTCTAGCGGGGATTTCACAGAACACTTTATCATCACACAGGTTTTTCAGTACAGATGTTGTCGAGAGATCATTGCCACAACTGGTAGTTGGGTCACCGTCCTCTGATGGACATATTTTGTCAGAAAGTCTTCCCCAGAATGTGTCCATGATTGCAATAGTCGATCCTGGTGAAACACATTCCAAGGATTTGTTCTGACCAGCACACAACAGAACTTGTTTATCTATAACAGGAGCAAAAGTAAAAAACTAATGATAATGGCGATGATGTAGAAGATGATGAGGCGGAGGAGGAGGATGAAAAGGAGGATTAGAAGTGGGGATAGGAGAATATCGAAAAGACCATGCTGTTCATACGAGGAAGCCAATGGCCATTTGCTTGGAAAAGTCAGTTCAAATGAATGCACACAAGTGAAATAGAATCTAAGAGTCAAGATGAAGACGTAATTCATAGATGTCTTCAGTAATAATAGAGAGGTGTGCCGGGGTTATCGGATGTGTATATACTTATACATATTTACCTGTTGTTAGGTCTATTTCACTGCGTGGTCTAATTCCAGCATGCGGCACAATATGGTGACTGACACTTATATCTGTGAAAACAAAGACCCATCTGCTAGCAAAAAGAAAGAACAGTATCTTGTGTATGGTGGTGTGTACCGGTGTGTGGTGGTGTACAGATGTGAATGTCAATATATGCAGATATTTCTCAAGTTAATGGGGGTATCCATGAACCAGAACAGAAAAGTGACAAATGCTATGGGATATTTCTGTCCCACAAAATATCTCAATTGTAACTTATAATCGAACAACTAGAGACAACCTTTTCTTAGGGCAGACAATGGTCGTGCAATTCTAAGAACCGTACTAGAAATTGAGGCTTAGAAAGTTAGGTTTTTTTCCTAGTGTAACTAAATTTAAAATGGTTACTGGATTTGTTCTTTTTATTCACGTCATGACGCGATTTGTAAAAAGTTTTCTTGTCAGTTTGTTTTTGTTTTTCAGAAAAAATAGACATTGTTGTGAATAACAGAATAAATGTGTTTAAAAAGGACTTGCCTTTATGAGCTGGTAACTCGATATTAAGAGATGACCTCACCAACACAAACATCGCGGACAGAAAATAGAAATATTTCATCATTTTTCATCACTTTTCGCCAAACTTGGTCATGTGTTCACTTTAACATCCATTCGTACTTTTATGTTTCCTCGATATGAGTAAGATAAGCCATAATAAAGAATGATAATTATATAACTGACGTAAGTTAAGGATTGCGTTCTTGGAGGTTTTGATTCTAGAGAACAACGGGTACCAAAACAATGTCAATTAATGGTCATGAATATTTTATGAGAGGAAACGTTCTACTGACAGATTTATTCACTGTCTTGAAGAAAATATATTTGTCTTTTAAAATGAAAGACTATTTTATCTCAAACATCTATTCTGATTTTATAGACATTGGTCAGCGGAACTGCCGTCAAGGCGATGCGCACAAGTTGTTGTTTATAGGATGCTCACAGGCCGATTAACAGTTTCAACGATGTTGACACCATTCTATTTAGTAAAATTATAATTATATAACATGTATATTATATAAGTATTATTAAACCTCTCCGTGAATATTGCTTTTCRATTTCAGATTGACTGATTAATATAAAGTTATATTTGGTTCATGTACTAATCACTGTCTAACGATCCTGTGATTGTTCGTCAACCAATCAGAAATCCGCTCAACACMAAAGCCAAGTACTGCAGTAGCCAATCAGATGTCAAGAAACAACACCGAGTTCATAGTTGACAACCAATCAAACGCAGGTACTCAAACACACACAAATAACAAATATTAGTTTAATAATCAGCATTCATTCTGTTACTCTGTCACAAAATTTAAATACATGTTCGCATATTTACACAAGAACCTAGTCGTCTGCTTACAAAATTTAATCCTAATTTTCCTCTCGCCATCCGATCAACCAAAATAATTTTTATTACAACGAACATCTCAAATTAAAATTAATAATTTGATTATATCTTTATAAAAAACGTAGTGATTATTTCCTCAAGGTGCGATTTTCTGAATAGCCAATACTTGGTATGGTCAGGGCACAAYACCCTTTTCAGTGTCCAGAATCGCATTTGCACGATTGTTGACTTAAAGCTTAACCAAGTATTTCATTAAAACGTTGATCCTTTGCAGCAATGGTAAAACTTGATTACAGGTTTGTCCGGAAAGTGTTACGTCATCAAGGCTGATTGCCCGCGCCTGCATTCCCAACACCAAGATTACGTACATGAGGAGACTGTGGGGGAAGGTTATGTTGGTTATTGCGCATGAAAGGTACATTCCTGACTCCTTGATTAGCATTCAAGTTTAGATTACGTTTTGAAGCATTTTCCATGATGCGATGTCTCAAGCCTTTGATGGTCGAGGGTTTAGTGTTGCCATTGTCAAGTCTGTACAATGTACTTTTTACCTTCTGCTTGAGGTCAGCAGCAGATGCAGTATCTATGTTGCTCCTAGTATTATCCTTGACTTCTGCCTGTCCAGGTTTTACTAGCGGTTGTTGTTTGTGCTCAACGATTTTCCTGGGAATGGATGCCTTTCGAGTTCCCACGCTTGTTTTGTTTTTGATATTCTTAATTCCTTCAATTATCATTCTTTCAATAGTTTGTGCCTGCTCATCGGTCAGACCGTTTTCTATCATCGACTCGTCTCCACCTTGTGCTTCAGCAGATGCTTTGATTAAATTGTTGATTTTCTCCAGAGCCTTTAGTCCACCCATTCCCAGTCTACCAATATTCAGATCTTCTTTCCCCTCAGAAGGGTTTTCAACCATACTCTTTGGATCTCCGTCTAGTTGTTTAAGAGCCTTTGCCACATTCTCTGGCTGATCGTCATGTTTTTCCGCTTCTGGTTTAACTGGTTTGTCTTCCTGTTTATCCTGTTCTACAGACTCGGACTGTTTGACTTCGAAGTCATCTTCAGTTTCTATCGATGGAGGAACAATCGATTAGCAGATAATTAACAGATCATTTTCGATTTCGTAAAATAGCGCTGTGTTTCTTGATTACAGGATTCATTTACTCAGGGTTAGCGACTCATCTTAACATCAAAATATCTATATACAAATAATCAAAATATTAAAAAACCAACGGTAAAGTAAAGAATGGACAACTTCAACAATTTTCACAAAGCTTCACTGCCGGAACACGGGAATATTCTACAACAAGTCAAGGCTAGTCCTGAGCAACAGAGAACTCAAAATTGGAGTATTGAGGCTATCAATATATAAAGCAGCGTGTTCTCCCTTACCAATGTTTGGATGTGGCTTACAACTGTAGTTAATAATAAGATATTTGGCAACCCCTGGGCAGTTTTCAGCGCCATTTTGAACCTGATCATATGCTGCGTGCACATCACATCGAGTCAAACCATCACATGACTTTTTGACAATCCCGAGACTCTCAGTGGCCCCCGTGCATATCGTTTGGCCGTTTTCCGCTGGACAAACCACCGTTGATTGTCTTCCCCAGAATACCGAATTGACTCCAATCTTCCACGTGGCAGGGCAGTAAAGTGTGGAGTTTTCAGAGTCGCAAAGCACGACTTCCTTGGCATCTGGTACGCATGTGTAGTTGATGATAAGGTATTTATTTACACCAGGACAGTGCAAAGAATTGGGGTTTTGCAGCAACGCGTGTTTTGCTTCCAAGTCACAAGATTCTTTGCCTTCACATCTTGCTTTTACGATACCCAGTGTTTCTGGAGCTGTATCACAGTTGAGTACAGTATCACCATCATCAGAAGGGCAAATATTCGCTGATCTTCGACCCCAGAACACGTTCGTAATGGCGATATTAGACCCAGGATACGCGCAGCTTAACGGCTTCCGTTGCTTAGTGCATATAGTGACATCTTTATCTATAGAGGGAGGGAAGGGTTAGGGAGAATTTTGTTCAAAAAACACTCACAAAGACAAGAAACACTCAATCCAGGCTGCAAGAGTGAACTACCTCAGTTACTCCTTGAATTGATTGCTTTGCGTCTGACCAGAAAACTATGGATCATTTATTCCAGTGGTTCTATTCCATACTTACCCGACTCGAGATCAATTTGACTTAAACCTGTTCCGCCGTCACTGCTTGGGACATTTCCTGGAAAGAAGCCATACATATTCAGTCTTCAATTGGGGGCGCTGGGAAGTAGGTAAGGGAGTGTTTTATAGTCTACATGGGAGGGGGAGGGGAGGGGGAGTCTGTACATTTTGTGATGTGGATATAATGTTCTCGTTAAGGGGTCACAAGAGCATAGAATCGGTACTAGTTAAACTATGATAGCAAAGTTGAGTTGAGTTGTCACCACGTAAAAACAATGTGAAAACAAAGAACAAAGCAATGTTATCTATCTGTTGATTCTCACCTTGACTGGATGTGAAGTGAACCAAGGCAAAAATGTATAAACACGAAACCACCCTTGAAGCCATTGAAGATGTCAGTCATTCAGATATACACTCTACATAGTATGGAAAAAAATGTATCATATCACGATGACGGCTGGTTACACCGACACAGGAATCCCATAACATCTTGTACTGGTACAACAACACAGAAACCATTACATATTTTACAAAATTTCAGTTTCTCTCGATCATCTAAAGGGACGATGTTAAAGCTTATAAAATTAGGCCAAAAAATCTTTTCCACTGACAATTGCGAATTAAAACAACGTAAGCTGGATATACAAATATTTGGCGGCAGTTTGAATGATGATTAATTCTGTAGAAAAGAAAATGTTATATAATTGAATCAGAAGCTAAAAGGCAATCATTTCTACCTGCAAATTAATGAGAAGTAGTTTCACGAGAATAGTCACAGTATTGATGAAAATACCAGAGTGACATTTTAGTCAAATAAATAACCCAAAAACTGACAAACAACAGTACTTGTTTATAAACAAGTGATTAGGATTGGTAGTGAATGGGTGAATCAAGAATAGAGTGGTTTGAACGAGTCGAATCACCTCAGTGAAAACATAATTCTACGAACCCAGTTTGGGTCAGTGAATTTTGGTCAAAGGTAAAAACACGAGTAGAGCATTACTTTGCTGTTAACAGAGCTGACGTGATTGATCTATTAAATGCACGAGAGGAAACAAAAACAGAAATGAGAAACAATAAATAAACAGCTAGAGACTTTACCTTTGTTAAACATTCGATTTCCAACTATGGATAAAAGTGAATACAGACAGAAAAAATATCAAACACGATAAACCTATTATTTTCCACTCGACAAGTTTCATGGCGTAAGACTGTCATGGCTGGTATGTTCTTTTTATCTTGGATGCTTGTGATCGCTCACAGCAGGTAAATACCATAATTGGCTGAACGCTTTCATTGCTTGGCCAATTTTTTGTTTATATAACCGTATAATAACAAAAACAATGCCAATATATGAATAAAATAACCAGCTTGATTTAAAGAGCAACTCACCTTAGATAATCTTTATCTTCGTTTGATTTTAGAAGTTCAGGAAACAAGAGCGTCGTTATCTCTGTCAACCTTATTATTACCTCACTCCTTCTCCTGTGTCACGTGCGTGTTGACGACATGTTTGTGATAATCAAGGCACTTGACACTTGATTTGTCCAAGGGATCTTAACTACATACCTAGCGAGGATACAAAACCTTTTCTGGATAACGAAGAAAAGCGCACAAATCCGGCACTTATCTTATAGATGGAAGATATGTATAAATTTAATAAAATTAATCTTCAGATTTCAGGCTTTTTTGCCTGATTGAAAACATAATTTTAAAACAAACTGATGCACTACAAGTTTAGAATTTCACTAATGTTTGCTGGTATTTCATGCGCTGCACTTGTTGCTGTTTGTTAAGAAAGGGTTTTTCTTATGGGATATAATGAAACTACGAATCTATCACAGACATCAGATCAAAGAAATATAAAAGATCATATAAATGCTTTTTGTGAGGGAAAAGGAGCACAAAGTGTCCAATGTTTCTCGTGCAGTTCAAGTGACCGATCTCACCAGCAGGGTGGTCAGCAAGGCATTGCTAGAACACGCGAAATGGGAGGGGCATTCATTTTATCATCATACGACATTCATCGTCCCGCTTACCGGTTGCTTCCTGTGGCCGAGCCAGAAGCCGACAGTTCCTAACCACTACCCGCATAAAGTAGATTTGTAATATTATCTTCTGCATATTATTTCCAAACCACTGTGGAACTCTAATTCAATAAAAACCCTCGTTCAAAATCACAAAGATAGAACAGTAGGTGGTCATACGGTTAGATGTAACGGTTTCACGAACAAATCAACCAGCCATGAAGTGCACTTCATCTAACATCTATATGTACTCACTGAATCGCTCGGTCATGTAAGCTCGTAAAATGCACCGAATCAGATCACCAGTCAATCCATTAGCCTCATCTACCCGGCCTTTATTAAACCCAGATACATCATGGTATGGTTCAGGCATATCTAGTGAAAGAAAAAATGTAGCATAATAGATGATAGTCAAGGATGATGATACAGTAATGATAAAAGGGTAAATTTTACACCGTGACTGAAAAGATGCATGAGAAAACTTACTGACGTTACGGACGCTAGTCCCTCGTCGGAGTAAAAGAGCAAATGATGATAGAAATGAGGGTGATGATTGTAATAATTATCGATATTTTGACATTCAAACTTGTGTACAACTGAGTACAGTCGACAATTTTTTCCTTTGTCCAATAATTTGTTTAGCAATATTTAGGGTTTATGTAGCTTTTTAATCGCAATTTAGGTTTTATTTGGTTTAAGAGCCTTTCTTTATTAAAGGAAACTAGAAATACCCCGTCACATTCAGAAACGACTGTGCATGCTTAAAAGATTAACCAATAGAATGCTGTTCTCCTTCTAGAGAGTGCGCTCGGGGTATGGTCGCTAATAACGGTGCGTCCAATCCTTGGGCAAAGAAACCAGTGAGTATACGGATCTATTTTGGAACTTTATACAGAGATGCAAGTGTTTTATTGCTTTTATTAGCTTAATACATGAACTTTGTTGTAAAATGTCAATACATATTGTTCAAGATTCAGTCACTCATTTGTATTTACAAGATACGGGTAATATGACTAAAAATACTGTAAAGAGTATCAGTGATTGCTAAAAGGAAGAAACCAAAAAGCAAGCAGTTTCGACATCATCTTATTCTGATAACGATGGTCAGGGATGGTCGGCCCGATTTCTTATTGCTTATTTATTGAATTGTTTGCTCGTAATCATATTTTTATTCTTTAGTTGTGGTTTGTTTAGGGTTTTGGTGGGTGGGGTATCTTGGAACGGTATCCTAATCGTCTGTAAAGAGAGAGAGGAATTCTGCCAAGATTCCCTCGCCTAGCGATAGCAGAACTTGGTCTACAAGCATAGTTCAATATCAAATACTTGCTGACACGAGGGCAATTCTCTCCTCCATTTTGCAGCTCGTTAAATCGAGCTCTGACTACACACCCAGGATTATTATTACAGTTTGTACGAAGTTTTGAAACTGTCTCCGAAGCTCCTGGACAAATGATTTTTCCTTTGTCAGATGGGCAGATATCTGTGGACTCTCTTCCCCAGAAGGCCGAGTTCACTCTAACAACCCAGTCAGACGGGCAAGATAACATGGTGTTCTCTGAATCACACAGAATAACTTCATTGTCTTTGGGTACACAGGTATAGTTTACGAGTAGATATTTATTAACGCCATAGCAGTGCTTGTCTTTTTGAAGTAAGTTTGCCTTCCCTTCCAGTAGACAGCTTCCCATTCCTTCACATGATTTCTTTACAATGTCCTGAGTCTCAGGTGCTGTTCCGCAATCTGTAACTGGATCTCCATCCTCAGAAGGGCAGATATCAGCTGACCTCCTGCCCCAAAACACACCCGTCACAGCAATGGATGACCCTGGACTGCAACTTAAGGTTCTCTTTTGACGAGAACAAACCTGAACTCGTTTATCTGGAACAGTTCAAAATACAGTCATTAAAAGCGGGTTGGTAATTGCAGGTAAAGGTAGTTAGAGAGCAAACATGTAAACTAATCATAATGGAGGTAACTCTTCCATCTATATATGAATATAATGCTTGGTCCAAAAATGCATGTTCAACGTGATTGGCTGAGTCATGATTCAACACACCCTATCAAAAAGAGCAATTGAAACTCTGTATTACATTCGATCTGTGTTAGCTGTGTCAGCTCACCTGCCATCAGATCCAGTGTTGATATGCCTTTTCTTGTATCCATGTTTGTTTCTTCACTCAACGCTGCAGCTAAAAGAAAATAATCTAGACGTTCAGTCGTAAATGACGCACATACAAAACGACAATAGTTGGTTTGTTGCAACATACCTGACCAGCAGTGACCTGCTATCAACACAACAGCAAGAAGATAAGTAACCATGGTGACGATATCCTGTGGATCAAGAGAATGTCACGTGATTAAAGACTCCCAGTTAATACTAATTCTTTGATCAATCAATTCTAATAATATGCATGGTAAATCTAATTTGTATTTTGAGGTCATAGGTAACTGATGGACAAATAAATATACACAATCAAAGTGAACGGCGTTTATCATGAGATACAAAATGGTATCTTCTGTGACTAGATTCAATGTGGTGAACTATCCGAGAACCAACATCGCGCAGCTATGAAATTTTCATTTAAAATGTTATTCTTCTCACAAATTAAGTGACAGCATTGAGCAGTATGCCATAAGCAGATATACTTTTGTTAAACTGAATTGTATCACAAAGAGAAAATGTCGTACGTTAAATATCTTGATCGTACAGCAAAAGAACAAGACACTTGTTATCTTACCTTGAACATCACAGACAGAAACACGGAGTCTCTCAAGATTATTCTCTTCGTTATTGACACATGTTGCTGAATTACAAATTGTTTTGATGGATTATAAGTAAAATATCTGAATGCTTTGTTTTTCTTTGCCTTTTCTTTGTTTTTCTTTGATCAAAGTCAGAGAATTTTTCACCAGATGATGATGAATAATTGATGTTATCCACGTCAAACTGCCGGTGTTAGTCTTGGCCAGTGTCGATAAGCTATTGTCTTATCAGTCTAACAACAGGTACTCAAACCAGATCATAGGCAGCTGATAGATGTTAGACTTGATCTTAGACTTTTAAAATGAGTACTTAAATCAGTGTTGATAATCTTCCACGACTGTAGAATATGAGAAACTTATTACTAATAATTTAAAAAAAAGGATTTATTATTAGATAAAAATAAGTATAAATGAAAAGATTGAAAATACCATTAATGAACACGGGGTGCGTATACAGTCCTTTGACTAAACGTTGTCTTTTGATCGGCTTCATCCCTACGCGCCTAGACCGAAAAAGATCATGGGGATAATTAATTCACAGTTACAGCTGCCGCATACATGTTATCTAACACGTCTTGAGCTCGCTGTTTTCGATCCCATTTAATTTGCTAAAACCATGCCTCGAGCATATGGCAAAGATTTAACGCTGGCGAGCGAGTTGATGCAAGTTCTGGGTAATTTACCCGTTATCCTTTTCGGTCTAGGCGCGTAGGGTAATCCGATCAATGACAACGTTTAGTCAAAGGACTGTATATTACACAGCAATCAACACCACCCCACCACACCCCCAACTCTTACTCTCAACTTGGCGCCACATCTACAATTATTACTACATTATTTTAGCGAAATACATCATTAAGTTTGAGCAGTTTTAATTTCATCAGGACAAGGCAAGGTACAAGACTATACAAGACTTATTCTGTTCACTATCTTTATTCTATATTTCATGATACGTGTTACATATTTAGCGCGGAGAGTTTAAAATCAATAATATTCTACTCGTTTAAAACCATGTGTGACTAAAATCTACTGTTATAGCACCCTTCTTGAAATTATCTCGAATGCGAGGCTAACATGAAAATACTAAAGCCAATGCCACAACGCCACAGACTCCATCGGGTACCATTAACATACTTTAGTACATTACACGGCAAGATGACGTCAGCTAGTATTAAACGGTGGTGTCGTGGAATAGACAGTTGTTTAATCCGCAGTCATTGGTAACCAGAAAGGTTAAAGAAACAGCGTATTTAATGTGAATGCTACAAATGTACTCCATTGGTTTTCATTTTAAGTATTATGTCACCATGGTGACAGTTGCCAGAGCTACAACTAAGCTACTAGTAAATTATTAATACGAGACGTATTGCAAGGCAGGTTAACGCACGTTAGTTGCCGTAGGATATCGTATGGGAGAAAGTTTTCTTGTTTTTCTTGTCTTCTTTATCTGGGTTAATGTCAGTTGCTGATATTGGTCTGTTTAAAAAGAGAGCAATTGAAGGACTTGAGACTTTATTCATTTTATCAATCTTTATTATGTGTTAAGTTCATCGTTTAATAGTAGGTTTTTAGTCATAACATTCATTTCTTTCGTTTATGAATTTTTAGCAAAAATTAAAGAGTAATAGTAATAATACTAATAATACTGCTACTAATAAAAATGATAATAATTGATGATGATGGTTATGATCATAATGATGATGATTATAGTGGCTATGATGATGATGGTGACGATGATGATAAAATGTATGTCTTCTAACTTGGCACAAGTGCTTTGCTAATCGGGGAGACCTAAAGTTTGCACACAAGAGTACTAACATTGCTTTACCTTTACTCTAGCCTAGTACTGTTGTTCGTCAATGGAATCCTCTTCTGCATTCGTATCTATAAGTTCAATCGAAACACATTATTACCTTATTTGCCGGAAGTGATTTAAATGTCGAGAACCACGTTACATCATTATTGGAGTAGACTTTGCACTAGAGTTTTTAGATCCCTAACTCTAATGAATCTTAGATCTCCCTACCTTCACTAGCAAAGTTCTTGATCTCTTGTTCAGTTAAAGGTCTTTCCCAGAGGGCGAATTTCTCCATGGACAAAGGCATCCTGTGTTGTACCATGGGTGAGTTATTTGGCTTGCCAATAGTGAAAGTCGTATAAGAATCGTCTGGTCGTGAAACCTTTGTTCCTTTAGCACTTGCTACAGCTTTACCATTGACAAACAGCTTTAAAAGGTTCTTGTTTTCCCAAGTGAATGCAAGATCAAACCATCCCTTTGGTATGTCTTTAGTTTCAAGTTTCCATTGTCGATCTTTGGTACTCAGTATCAAGATATACTTCTTAGCCAGTCTCAAAAGAGCAAATCCACGAGCCTTGGTTGTTTGTCCTCCAGTTGACATAATGTACGCACTAGGTTTACTGTTGATGCTTTCTTGATCGAGTTTGATTCGTGTTATGACAGTCATTCCGTTACCTTGGCATCTTGAAGGATCGCTGAAGCATTTATCTACAAAACACAACAACGCGAAGGTTTAAAACAAAGGTATACAGTGTTCCATACGAGAATACATGCATCTGCCATGATGCGCAGACTTTATCTCTTCATATGCAAGTCGATGGCATTAGAAGATCAAAAGGGTAACGAGGGGTTAGACTCGCTTTTGGAATTGCTAGTCAGGACCTACCTGCGAAGTCACCAAGAGATATCCATCCCTTATGTTTGCCTTTATGCGTTGTTGTGGCAACATTATGTTCTATCTTGGCGCCATCTTCCAGATGTGCAGCTAACCCATGTCGTGAGTCGGTGCTGTCTCCATGTAGTTCGTGATGGAAAGGCCAGTAATAATCTGCTGTGCTAAAGTCCATTGATCCTGAATAAAAAAGATTCAAAATGAAACAAATGAAATGACAAAATACTTTATGCATGTGGAAAAACGAACGTAAGAGCGATTGTCTGGGAAAACATACCTTTCGCTTGGTGCTGGATACCTCCTCTCTTCTTTCCTATAAAATAAATCATCATAATTATTWAAAATACAATATACTAAGGGTGTTGGTGCAATCATTCTACACTTAGAATGATTCTACACTAAGATTAAGCCATGATGTTGATTAACGTTATGCTCACCTCTTCGGCCACTGCGTCTGCCTCCGTATCTACGCCCACGTCCGCGTCTCCCTTTGCCTTTCCTTCTCAAGCCACGTCCACGTCTCCCTTTACCTCTCTTTCTAAAGCGTCCACGTCCACGTCTTCCTTTACCTCTCCTTCTAAAGCCACGTCCACGTCTTCCTTTGCCTCTCCTTCTCAAGCGTCCACGTCCA